GTCTGTAGTCCCTTCATGCTACACACACACAGAGCTTAACAGATAATTAAATGTTAAAATATGGTAACATATGGCCTAAATTAAATTAAATAAAACAATATACAGTGATTTACTGTATATACAAAGCCTACACGCACACACACAGAATGTTCCACAGGGAATTTTTTAATTTGCGTCTGGGGAGAATGTAAACAGCAGAAAGATGATAACATGGTTTCCTCTTAACATAAAAAGTCAAACATTTGGGAAACAGTGTCCTTTATGGCTGCATTTGAGCACCAAGCATCATCGAGTCTGCCTCCTCTCATCTTGCGCTCTGTTGGCTCGGAACATGGTCTGCCCAGTGAATTCAGTAGTTTAGTCCAGTGGTTCCCAACCTGGAGGTCGGTCCCCCCAAAGGGTCTTTAATCTTTGCTTTTTTGTGAAATAATGGATCATTTTTAATTTTGTTAAAACTATTGTTTAAATTAAATAATCGGAGGAGTTTAGAGGGGAAATGTCTCTTTAGTGGAACTGCTAACAACACAGACATGAAACGTGACTGAGGGCCTCAACTAAATATTTGCTTTTTTTTAAAAGAGCAACAAGACAAAAAAGTTGGTTCCCCATGAACAAATCTTATCATCTTATGTTTATGGGTTTTTTTCATAGATTGTTACCAGTGTTAACACTGTTTGCTATGTTAGCAAGCCAAGTTCATAAATACTGGTAATGAAGTATTGATTTTGAAAGAACAAACAGTTAACTCATTTGTTTTAAACCATCAAATTTGTGTTGGTACAGAATTTCTACATGTACGAGAAAGTTAAAATTAAAGCTTTCTACAACAATTTTATGATATTTGTTTCTTCTTTTAGGGCAAAACATCTGATCAACAGATAAGTAGCCTATGACAGGTAAATAAAAAATGTTTATCTTTAGGAAGTGTCCCGCAAGTAGTGTAGCAGGTCAGTATAAAGGCAGGGTTGGACTTTGTTTTATCAGAAATGGTGACTCAGATGCATCACAAAAAATCTTATCTTGGGAGAAAACAGAAAGAGAAAAATAGATGGATCAATGAAATTAATATTTATGTTGTAATTAAGAGCCCATCAATTCAAATGTAGATTACTTAATGAACTTTAAGGGTTGATATTTATAAAATGTAAGAAGAATTTTAAAGAACTGTAAGAAGACATTCTCCTTAAATAGCCGACAGTACAAATGCCAGTCAAGTTCAGTCTTTAAATTTTAGATCTTTCTGAGGAGTTTATTTAAAGTTTTAGTCATGCTAACCAGCTAATGCTAGTTTCCTAATGTTAGTCTGACAACTAATGCTAAAATTAAGAGGCAAGCACTAAAGAATAGGTTCAGGTTTTTTGAAGTCTATTATCTGAATTCCAGTCTGCTCCTTTTTCTTTCTGTTAGGTGGCTATGGATCAGATGGCCATTGACCTGGTTATGGCTACTGACTACAAATCATCTTTAATTCAGTGACCCTATAGTATTTTGACTTTAAGTGTGTTTTCCAAGCCTGCCTGCAGCCATTCATTTAATTTCAGAAGGAATATCTTCAAGGAGATTCCCACATATTCAATTGTTGTCACTGATAGCCTACTATTTTGAAGACAAAGAAATCAAATTAAACTGTGTGTGTTCAAGTTTTCCATTTTTCTTTCCATTTGTGTGTGGTTATGTGTGTTTGTAACTGGGTGTGTTGGCCATCATCTGGTTACACTACTTTTGTTCATGATCATGTTTGTAAATTTACCAGCTCGACAATGAATCCTTTATGAATTTGAAACAGACTTGATCCCAGCCCAGTCTTAAATAGCTACAATGGCATATTGTAGGTTTTTTAAAAGAAATAAAAGAAAAAAGCGATGAGAAAAGAGAAGAAAAAAGCTAAGCACGTTTGTGCTGTGACAAGGTGAAATGAGTCTGGCTAATTTAGGAGTGCATGTGTTATCAATTTATACCTTTTCTGCATCAATTTATGGTGGAAACGTCTTCATTTATGTAAAGGGAAACACTTCAAGCGGCAGGTGACAAAAAAATATTTTAAAAAGCATATAATTCACAAAGTCTCTCGGGCATTCTGTAGCCTAGTGCTTTCAAATATGTATTCTCTCAACTTTTCTCATTTCACATCATCCCTGCCGAGTCAACACACATTTTGGCTGTCTTCCCTCTTCTTTTGTGTCTTGTGTTTGGGGAAGTTGCACCTTTTTAAATATGTGTGTGGTGCTTATCATCAATGATAAATTCGTTTAGGCTATAAACCCCTGGACTTTGCTCCTGCACGTTTTCTGCTCATGTTCAAAACAAATAATAAATGAATGAATCATAAATGATTTTTTCTCGGGAACATTTGGCCCAGTGTTAGTGTCATTAAGTGTTATTAATGTTTTGATTTTAGTCTAGCATTGGGTTGTGGCTTGAGGTTGATAAGCCTTGGTGTGGGCTTGCACTGTCTTATGAACCGTGCAGTTACAGTTTAGGTTCAGTCTTATCATCGAGTATTAATACAAACATTGCACTCCAAACACAGCTACTGCTCTTTGTCTGGACTCCATGAAGGGGCTATTGTCAGGCATGTGAAAGAGCTCTCTCTCTTCCTCTCTGCCTCAGAAGCCACTCTGTTGGGACACATCTGAGGAAATGGCTATAGTTTGGGTGGATCAGTTGGGCCTATAGGGAATTTTAAGTGGCACTATTTTATTCCTTGCTGGACATTTAAAATGCAATGTGTTATTTTTGAGTCTAGTTGATATCATTGTTTGCTCAACTCTTCCTAAAGTGCCATTTGACCTTAATGTAGCCCTATGTCCTTGTAAAATGCATACTAATAGGCTATAACTTGCTTCAGGCAATATTAAAGCTCACGTTTAGCCTGAAAATATTTACCCTCAGCTTTGTATGCCTGCACACCAAACCCAGCTTTAGGCTATTCGTTGTTGTGGTTTAACAGGAGTTCAGTACATCAAGAGTTATATTGTTTTAAGAGTAAACACAACTGGATTTAAGATTATGTTGAACTGTTTTCCTTCTCTGCATTTCATGGGATTGCGTAAGGTGGTAAGTATAATAATATCACCTTGTTTTTCTAATATAATGATAAAAAAAAAACATATTACAAGGCATTGAGAGGAAACTTAGGTTAATTAAAAGACTGGAGAAGGCTGTCTTACCTTCATACGTAAATCCAAAGAGAAACTAAAGGAGTTTCTTGTCCAAGGGCATTGTCTTCTTCCTTTGCATTCAGTTCCAGATGAATAATAGCCTACTAGTAGATATCCCTGCTACATCTGCAAATGTCGAGCAGCTTATGTCTGATCTTGACATACACATACTGTTATAGACCCAGCACAGCCCCGCGTTCCCCTTATCACATGTCCAGCGCTGCGGAGGTCATTCATTTGGTTGCCGCTCCTCATCTCCTCTTTCTATCAGCAGGCACACCTGATGCCTCGGGCTACCTGCCACCTCCCCTCAACTTTCAATGCCAAAACTGATCTGGCTGGATAAAGCACTGCAGGGAGGCTCATGTAGCCACCTGTGACGTCAGGGTCTCTGTCAGGGGACGTGGACTTGTGTCAGTGAGTGTAGGCTAAAAGAAAAAGGGAGGGAGGGGGCGAGGGAGGCTGTATAGTGCCTATTCAGTGTCAACATACAGAGGGCTATTGAGTGGAGACAGTGGAGTCTGAGCTGCAAGCTGATACGAGGGACGGAAAAACAGCATAAAAGGAACAAATGTAGAACGGCAAAGCACAAAGGCTCTAATTGTACCACTTGATCAGTTCTGCTCTGTCTCTGTATTGTTTGAAATACTCATTTAGCTGTCAGTGCATGCTGTAGAAAGAACGTAGAGGACAGTTATCACATTTTGCTACACATCAAAGCAAACTAAGCAATCTCCGCACCCTTGATGCAACGGCGTACATGCTTCAAATAGTATTTTCTTCATTTATAAGTGATCGATTTTTTTGTTACAATAAAAGTAGGCCTAGAGGTATTTTAACTTTGACTTATGATACTCAAAACGGTATCTTATCCTTGTGAAACTGCCATTATCAATAGTCTCTTGTGCGAGACAGCGCAGACATTTCAATAGAGAATGAAATGAACATTCAACCACGAGCAACAGTCCATCTGCCTCTGCTGGCCAGGATGCAGCAATATGTGGTCATAACGCCTCATCCATTACAGTACGCATGAGCTCTGTCTCTCCACACTGTGGCCCAGATTCCTGGAAGGCGCACTGGATTCGTGCTGCTCATCCCACACCAGTCACTAGTCATGCTCAGGGTCGACACTACCCGCTTTTGTTGAGCAGGGTCGCCTTTGCCTGCAGGCACCCAGAGTGCAAGGCTGAGACCTGGACTGGGTGGGCATGCGCGGAATTCAGATCAGGGTGATATGTGGGCAGCGAGCGTCACAAACAGAATGAGGAGATTGAAGCAGAACTGGGCATGACTGGCCTGGCGTTTGGCCCGCCACGATCACAGCAGCATCTCAGAGGGCAGAAGGGCCCCTGCTCCTTCGTCATCAGCAACAATGGCCCCTGTGTGGACAAATCACTCAAGACGACCCACCCACAGCGGCACTGTGACCTCAGCCTCTGCAAAGATGTGGAGTTTGGAGTCTTAAGCTGATGATACACGGGGCAACTTTTTGAGCAATATTGCTGGGCAATCTTGCTAGTGGCAAGTCCGACTATGTTTTGAACAGAGCGGTGATGCGTGGACGGTGGCAGAGTGATGGGGGAAGGGGATTACGTTAGTAATCTTTACTCATTACCACTGACGGCAACATTGCCCAGCACTATTGCTCGAAAAGTTGCTCCGTGTATCATCACGTCTTGATCCAAATATAGCTGTTGGAAGAGGGCAACTCCTCTGTTATTAGAGGCCAACTGCTCGTTTCAAATCACAACTAATCCTTCTTGAATATGAAGAAACATGCAGTAGCTTACCTACAATAAGAAACCTCAACTTCATTTGAAGTAACAAGATCAGAACTAACAGGATCATTAGGTTGTGTTTAATTTAGAATACAGACCATTTCAAGTACAGATTTTAAAACAAAGTGGAAGAAGTATTGTGTAATGTAGAATAGTTCATACAAACATAAAGGCAAACACTTTTACATTAATAATTACACAGTTAGGAGATGCCACATCCTGCGCTTTAGCTTGAAATTATGCAGAGGTCAATGCACCCACATGGTGCACGTAACTCACTCACAGAGCTGTCTAATGCACTTAGAGGTTTTATGACATGGGAACCTGTTATGCACAAATACTTAAAAGTCAGTCTGATAAATACATCATCAGATGAGTCATTTTCTCGTCTTTTTCTTCTTTGATTTCTCAGCATCATCGTGGGCCTTCCTCTTGGCAGCAAGTTTATTAGCCTGTAAGAGGTGAATTTATGCACAGTTAAGGAATTTTAGACGTCTGAACTCTGAGGGTTATCGCTGAGCTTGAATGTACTCTACACACAGCAGCTACACAATACTGTTTAACATTCTCAGTCCGAGATAAGCTGCCCGATAGTGAAAAAAAAAAAAGGTAAGAATGTTATCTGTAACCATGGCAGCACAAACAGACTAATCTACAACCAATTTTTAATCAACAAAATGGAACAAACCTCTCGGACTTTTCTCTTCTTTCCAAACATGATCTTGTCGTAGAGGTACTTCTCCTTTTTCTTCATCATCATGATGGCCAGACGTTTCTCCTCTGCTTTCTCCTCCTGCTCCAAGCGTGCTGGGTTTTCTACCTTCACTTTCCCCGGCGTCACTTTGACTTGCAGAGACTGAAAGGATGACAGATGAGTTGATAAAGATTCCGCCAGTTTGTAAAAACAGGAAAATAAATACATGGCGAGGGAAAAAAGGGATCAGGAGTCTCTTACCTTGCCCTGGGACCTTTGTTCTTCCATCTTCTTAAGAGTCTTCTCTTCTGCCTCTTCCTCTTCATCCTCTTCGTTGTCATCATCTTCCTCCTCTTCATCTTCACCCTCCTCATCTTCACCCTCCTCATCCTCCTGTTCCTGGGCTATAATGGAAGTAAAATATATAAATTGTGTATCCATGGTCTCTGAATTTACAAAGCTTATATAGTTGTGCACCCCATTTAGGCTTAACTATTTCACAACACTGACTCACAATAGACGAAACAAGGTTTTGTTGACCGACTTATCAAAAGAAAAAATACTTTAGTATCAAATCTAAAATGGATGTAAAATAATTGCAAAAAATCAAACAGATTTCACTTGTGTTCACTCCCTACTATGCTGCACCTAATTTATTACTGGTACAGCCAATTGTTTTTAGAAGTCAAATAATCAACTGAATAGCAATCACCAGTGTGTAATCAAGGTGTGACCATGCGTGTATGTGAAAATAGAAAAGCTACCAGGTTTTTCTCCTCGTTGTAAGGCCATGATCTTCAGTTTTTCAGGGGGCACATAGTCTCCATCCTTCTCCTCCACAAATGGAGAGAGGTGGGGAGGCAGAGTCACTCCAAGGAAGTAGTCCTCCACAGGCAGGAGGATTTTGGCATTGACACAATCATATGCCCACTGAGGCTGGATGTAGTACCTAAGACAAATAGTATAGTAAAAGAGAATAACCACTTATGATGTAAGATGTTTATTTTCCTGTTCTTATATATGAAATTATCAGTCCATATCTTATTATATAGAACTGTGGGGATTATACTATCTGCTAAATAGGGAGTTTGCAGGCATGATTGAAGTGATCTTTTGAAAAGGCAAAGTGCAATAAAGAAAGGAAATGGTCTGTACAACACAAAGAACAGGATTGCTTTGGTGGCAAGAGAAGGGAAATACGCCTCTGAAAGGAGGCATTGTAGAGGATATGGTAATGTACAGGGAGAAAGGAGCACAGTCAGTCAGCAGAGACTCTGTATTTAGGAGACATATACTGTAAATCTAATTGTTTAAAAAAAAAAAAAGACGTGTTCTACTGTTTCAAAAGCAAGAAAGTGTTAAAAACAATGAAAACCACAACATTCCTTTACCTGTTGATATACTGTTTGTCGATGTTGGGTCTGTCAACAATTTGATGCGTGATGGTCTCATCTGTCACCTCGTATGTGCTACCAATGCAAACTGACTTGTCCCAGGACACCTCACCACCAAAACACCTGGAAGACAGCAACAATACACAAAAGATAGAGAAAGGTTTGAAGTTTATAACGTCCAGTAGATTTTCACTGCAGCGACTCTCACTCACCTGATGAGAAACGCCAGCGACTCTCTGGGCACTTCCCTGTTGAGGAAGAACTTGAGCCCCTCAAAAAGCTTTTTCTGAGCTTCCTGCTGTTTCTGTTCCTTTTCCCTGGCCTCCATATTTTCCATGTCCTCCTGGAAAAAAAGAATGAAAAGGAAACCATTTATTGAGGTATTTTATAATTCCATGAATGCTGGGCCACAAGAAGATGACATTTAAAAATGCAGGTATAGTTGTTGTGATAACACTGAACTAAAAAAAAGGGAACAAAAGCCTGAGTCCTAGAAAGAAACTTAAGGTAAAAAAATAAAAAAAAAAGCCGGCCCAACAGCAGCTCAGGGGTGTTATATCAATGCAGTCAGGTCCCCAATGAATGAATGTTCATCTGTGTGGCCCACATTCCCACACAATGTCTCAATGGGCTTTAGAGGCCCACGACAAGAACAGTTACCAACCCAGCTCAAGGTCTCTTAACAAGAAAACTCTCAAATAGAAAAATAGTGATATATGCTAATGTATTTATTTTGTTTCCATGGATGCAAACACTGGCAATATACTCATGAAATGATTATAATATTATTACTAATTTGATACAATTTTGGAAGACATGATTGCAGCAAAATCATATTAACGACTGAAGCCCAGTAATAACAGTGATACTAATAAAATAAAGAAATACAACCAAAATGATGGCCATTTCAACCACACTGTCCAAAGAACTAAGGAGCCCAGGAGCTGAACTCAGGAACTGAAAGTCCTTTTAACACATTTGTGTTTCATTTGCACTACATCTCAGGAAGCATGCAAGTTAATTTGTAGTTCTTTGAATTAACTCTTGCGCAAAGACTGAAAGAATGACATGACATATTGCAGCTGTTTTTTTTGTCTTTGACCCATCAAACAAATCAGCGTCGTAAACTACGGTATACAGTACTTTCAGTACAACAGACGACTCCCTTTCTATTAAACCTGAAAAGAGTGACTGCCCAAGCCTATTGAGAAACTCAAACCAGTTTGGCTTCCCAGGGTAATAAACATCTTTTCCTTACCAACCAAACCTGAAGCTGTAATCCCCAGTCTCACACCTCTAAAAGCTTTGACTCCTCTGACAAAGACATGTTACCAGTTACCTCTGCCCTCAGAGACCAATTAATTTGTTTTTCCTGAATGTTTTGATGAAATTTCTCATTATCGTTACTATGATCTCAATGTTTTATTCTCAGTGTTTTTAGATAAGACACAGCAAATCATATTTTGTGAACAAGTTTTCTTACCCCGTCAGCAGGAAACTGGTCGACTTCAGCCTCCTCCTCCTCTGCAGTTGAAACCACCCGCGCCAGACTGGCACTCAGAGCTGACAGTTTCTGCTCAGCCAAGAACAACAGGATTAGAACTACAGTCCCTAATTTAATTGTTCACACCTACGCATCACTGCTGTCAACAAACAGATTAAGGAAACTACATGGTTTTAAGTAACCTGATTTTCCAAATAACTGTGCAGAAGTATGTCTGGTACGCAATGTAATATCTAACTTTATCACTTTAAAATAAGTAAAGTGGAAGGACAGTAGTGTGTGCTGTTTTTACAAGATAAATACATTTTTGTGGAACCACTGCTTTGCATCAGGTTTAATGAATGTCCTTTCTTGCAAAGGAACAGAATCAAACCACCAGATGCAATCACAAAGAACAAGGCAGTGCTTATCTTTCCAGGGTTGTAGAATATTCCCTCAATATTATTAAACCTCTGTGTTTTTGCATCTGATAAGCCATCAAACTCATGGATCCATGAATCAAACTGGCCTTTAAAGTGCAATTTATACTTCTGCGTCAAATCTCCTGACGTGCACCTCCTCAAAAATTTAACTACACATTGAGTCGACGCGGACCATAAGCTCTGTGATTGGTCGGCTGGGTAGCCTCGCAATGCCTCCGAGCCAACCGGATGTATCCCGCGCTTTGAAGTAACATTTACTAGCGGCCAAAACGGCGGCTGTAACACAGTGAATCAATATAATTGACCGTCGCAACACGAGCGAAATGACTCGTTTCGCTATCAGAATTTGATCCACTCGGTCGGTAACATTTGAAAAGGCTACACCAGCCGCACGTTTACAATTTTACCCCCATTTACGTTAGTGGAGTGCTAAACCGGAAGTTAGCCTGCACGGCCAGCAAAAGTCAACACAGTGGACGCTGTAGCGCTACTGCTGACTAGCGTTTGTGGGTGTAATTGCAGTATGACAGACACACCTATGCACAAGTATAAATGTATGGCCTTAAGGATATAAGTACTTTAAAGATTGACCGGTACTTAAGTCTGTTAACTGGCTTATGCTCAACACACATTTTTTTATTCTACTGATGTGATAGCAGACAGCCACAATGTACAGAGTACTGATGTATCAAGCCATGCAGTGTTTTATTTTGTCCAGGTTACGACATAGCTGTCTAAGGTTTGTGCTTCCACCCAGATACAATGGCGGGGAAGGAATGTTGTTTGTGCTGCTCACAGCATTAACAAAAACGTTTTAAAATACCAAAGCAATGTGTCTGTTCAGAAATAATCCTAATCATAATCCTGGCTGCTCCACAGTGAATCCACAGACGTCACTGTGATCATTTTCCAATGTCACAAGCACCATAAACAATCTTCCAACCACCTTCATTATAATCTTAATCTGGGTAAATAAAAACAAATCTATCTATACGATTAAATACCAGTAGAGGTGAGAGTGAATGGTTTAACAGATCCTTTAAAATGAATCAAGATAATGAGCTTCACCTCCAAGTAGCTTTCTGAATTCATGGCATAGTCGGCTTCATCCTCTTCCTTCAGCTCCGTTTCTGCTTTACTGTCCAACTGCAAAAGGAGGGATGACATTAACAGTGCTAATAACCATAAATACCTTTCGCAATCATGCAGTGTCATTGTTAACAATTCCTTATCATCACAAATGGAACATAACAGAAATATGCCACAAAAGGATTTAAAGGCTTGAGAATATATGTTTGCGTAACGTAATATCTGTGACCACACATAATCAAGACAGATAAATAAGGCGTGTTTTCACATTCCAAGATACCTTTGGTGGGTAGACCAAGTTGAGGGAATGGTAGAGTCTGAAGTTAACGAACCCCAGGAGAGTGGTGTACATCTCTGTGAACGTTGCCATTACTCTGTAGTCGACATCTGTTGGATGCTGTAAGAGCAAAAAAGTAAGAGCTATTTACACAAAAGAGTAACTCTTAGGGCTGCAGCTAACAATGCTTTTAGCAATCAAGTATTCTACAGATAAAATCAAGTCATCGTTTAAGAGGTACTTTTGCTTGGCCGCTCCGCGGACCTGATGCTAGACCGGGTGCTTTCTGATCAGATGCCGTCGTGCTGTTGCGGTAGGCTACATACGTTTCGTTTTACAGTGGACAGGCTGTAAAATTACAGAGTTGTTGTTTTCTTTTAGATTGAAATGATCCCATACTTTAGACATACCTTCTTCTTCGTCCCTCGCTATTTTCTCTCGCTTCCTCCACTTTGCAAACAGCGCCATCATAATCATGTTGTGTTCACTTGATCACTGTAAGTGCCAGGTGCGACAGTAATAAATATCCGTGTGAAACAGCGCGCTATATAGTTATATGAATTAAAACGAAGCATCGATGCAAAGAATTTTTAGTATTCGAATTAATTGATAAATCGTTTCAGCCCTAGTAACTCTGCTCCATCAGCTAAAACTGCCTAAAGCTCTCGTGTGTCACAGCAACAGTGTTTGTTTATGTGTTCAAATGCTGACAAAGCTGTGCAATCTTCAGTGTAATCCCATAATAATCAAGTGAGTGCTTATTATTTAGCATTATCACCATGGACTGCATATCGTCATTCACTTACATCATGGGCGAACTGATATGGCACCAACCAGGTAATGAGCTGTCCCATCACCTCAGCTTGGTAATATATTCCCTTGATGGAGATGAAAACCTATCAGGAACAGAGACGTGTAAGTTAATTACAAAACTGACGTCAATGAACTCAAAACACTACAATATACAGCCCTCCCCCCATTTACATGTCAATAACTAAAGCAGCCTGGAGGTTGCTGCACAGTGTAAAGTGGCACCTTTCTGAGAGCACGAGATGTAATCACAAAGTTCATCCACTCCACAGTGAGGCGTCTGCACAGCTGGATTGTCTGAACGTGGCATTTTCCTGTTCGGGCGAACGTGGAAAAGAGAAAACACATGCAGAGGGCATCGTCGATATCTCGGAGAGCATCAATGAAGGTGGGGTACCTGCCACAAAAAACAGAGCACCAGTGAGGCAACACAACTTGAGACATTAAAAAAAAAAAAAAAAAAAAGGCAAAATAAAATGTGTTTTAGTTTTTTCAAAGAACCCCCTTCCCATCATTTCTGCTGATACTCTTCAACTTGACTTTCCACAGAGAAAGTCAACTACGCTCAACAATGCCCTCCTACGGTGAGTGGGGAGAATAACACTGCTTCACCTTTCTTTGATGATGTGGTCCAATTTATAGGTCGGCTTGTTCTCCTTCAGTCTCTCCACTGCAGACCATTCTGTTTTTCCATAAGCCCTCTTGAGTTTGCGTACAAATACCTGTTAAGACCAAACATTTCCACAATAAGACAGTGTTCACATTTCCCACCATTACTGCAAAAACATCTCAAAAGAAGGAACAAGAATGTCCTACAACAAGGAACAAATTACATTTGCAAAAGACAATTTTCTAACTTAGGAAAAAAGACTTACTACTTCTTTTGTGTTAAATTGTTTCCACAACCAATTAATACAGTACAATTAAGAGCATTTTACATACCACATTAAAGTGTTGCTTTTAAGCATGTCCATACAATTCTGTTGGATTTGATATTTAAAAATAATAGGCAAAACATGACTGAGATACCTTGTAGTCTCTGAACTTTGCAACGATTGGCTCATGCAGCAGAAAGCGGATGTCTTTGAGCAGGTAGAAGGTCCTCGCGGCCGTAGAGCCCTTGTTCACCTTCTTCTTGTGCTTGGGCTCATGAGGGTAGATGCCTTTAAGGATGCACAGTCGCCTGAAAATCAGAGAGGCATGAGGAATTATTTAGCTGTGACATGGCCGCTGTTTGGGTACATCTCTCAGTAGAGCAGCAACTATTAAATTAATCAGCAACTATTTTAATAATCGATTAATCAGCTTGAGTAATTTTTTAAAGAAAAACTCTCTGGTTCTAGCCTCTTAAATATGAATATTTTCTGGTTTCTTTGCTTCTTAATGACCGTAAACTGAATTTATTTGGGTTGAGGACAAAACGAGACATTTGAGGACGTCTTCTTTGGGAAACAGATCGACTTTTATTACCATTTTCTGATGTTTTACAGAAACAACTAATCGATTATTCGAGAAAATAATCAACCATGAAATAAATTGTTAGTTGCAGCAATCTCAGTATAATGCAGTACAATTCACGAGTAACGTTATTAAACTACAACTCGCAAAGGGGTGGGCAAAAACTTAACTATGTATACCTAATAAAATGAGTGTACGTCGATAAAAAAAAACAAAACAAAACACATTCACCACGATACAAGATTGTTTCCAATTCGCCCAACTTCATTACAATCAACACGGTAACGTCACCTGAAATCCGGGAGGCTCAGCTGCAACTTCTTGCGAGCTTTGTTTCTGGTGATGTAGTTGGTGGCAGAGCCCCTCTCAAACTGGGGGAAAAAAGACAGACGATCACGTTAAACACCCATAAATTATATGGCTTTAATTCATACTCCGATTAACTAGATGGTTTGACCTCAAATGTTCATCTGCAACCAATGTGTTGCAGAAAAACAAACTCCAGCTAGCTCCGTTAGCTAACTAGCTAGCCGGGATGCTACAGCAGTTAATGTGCTCGAGCCTGACATTAGCCCAACGTCAACTCTTACCTTTTTCTTTTGAAGACCTCCCATTTACAAACGATATGTGACTTTTCGCAGATGTTTAGCAAATGGTCTACAAATCAAGCAGTTAACACGCGAACACAACGCTCGCTACCAACTCAGGCAGCCGATGCACGTGTCGTTTGACATGCGCGGAGGAGGCGGTGCAAGCAGTAACAAGGACCCACGTGAGGGGTCGACCTTGGTCTGCCTGCATAGAAACCAAACTAACAAACATACCTCGCGTTTTTGATGTATTTTAATGCACTCGCGCTTCCGTTTTTAGTATATCGGATTAAGTTTGATCTGCCATGTGTCAATATCATGCACTTTAACTTTTTTAGTTTGTGTGCACCAATTCCTCCAAAATACGTTTTTATTTCATTGGAATTTTAAAACATTACAGACAGGAAACAAAACTAACAGGCAAATGTTTAAAAATGTCTACAAAATAAGTTAATATGTAATTGTGTAAGCACTGTCCAGATTTTAAGCCTGGTCAACTAGAAATATATAATCTGAATAAATTGACTTGAAATAATAATGCAAGGTTCAACCACATCTGAGCCCCACCCCATTCTCTTCTCCTCCTCCCCTGTTGATGCCAGAGATGCTTGAGAGATGCAGATTGGAGATGAGCAGGAGCAGTGAGTGAGAATGAAAAATAGTGAGAGAAATATAAAAAGCTAGATACAGAGAAATATACTCATAGAGAAATTAGACTTTGGAAGGAAATCTCAGGATATGTGTGAAGCATTTCATCAGTTCATCATGGGGTTACGACTTTTTATAAAGGAGTATTTTCTTGGTTTCTGGGACTACGAGACACCAAAGGTGATGGTGGTTAGAAACAGAACTCTTGGAGTAATTTACAGAGGCGTTCAGTTTCTTGTGATCACCTATTTCATCTGGTAAGCTTCATGTTGCAGGCCCAGTGTTTGTTGTAGAGGAATACTCTATGGAATTGTTGATTTTTCTACATATGTTGTTATCAGATGTATCTTTTGTTTGCTTGAACGCTTCTTGGGGCTTGTATTTTGCCAGCAATATGTAATACAATGCAATACTCAAACCCAAGAATGGCATTTTTTCAACTGTAAACAAATAAACAGCATAATTGATGTAAACAAAGCTAATATTAAGAATTAAGGTTGAGTCTCTCTGTACATTTTATACATAATATACATCTTATTTTTTTCAAATCTAATCCATTTCTTAGATTAGATGTGTTGTTTTATGATTGAAGGGCTTCAGCAAAGAGGGCTGAACAGTCTGTTCTATCATCCTGAAGGTATGTCTTTATAAGTCAGAAAGCGTACCAAGAGAGTGAAACTCGTCCTGACAGCTCAGTTTACACATGCATGAAAGGCTACGCAGTACATGGAGATGATGTCTTTGATACTGTGGAGTACGCTCAACCCTCAGAGGTGAGTTCAGAACAAAACGCTCCATCACAATCAAAGACGTTTCACTACTCTGTCAGCATAATGATCGCTTCACAGCAGAGTAAACCGTACTGAATGAATGTTATTTTCGTGGCATTTCCCTCACAGGGTGGTGATGTGATTAGCACGATATTGAGACGAGAAGTTACATATGATCAGAGGCAAGGAACCTGCGCCGAGGTGAGAGGTCAACAAAAGCTTTTTCAACAATAACAGCTGCTAGCATGCAAGGAAAGGCAATGCTATAAAAGTGTATCAGTTACAAAGACACCTTTATTCTCTTATGAGTGAGCATCTGTCTTATTTAACTTCAGCATTTCACAGTTGCCAATGCCAACTGTACGACCGACACTGACTGTGTCCAGGGAGAGGTTGACTTTGATGGCCATGGTACTGTTTTTATTCCTCACAAGATTTTTCTTCAAGCTTAATACATCTGTGTTTGCCACAGTGTCTTTTATCTCTTCATAACACTTTCTTACAGGCAGAAGGACCGGCAGATGTGTTCAGTACTACAACCACACCTTCAAAACCTGTGAGATCCAAACCTGGTGTCCTATTGAGGAGTACGCTGTAGTACGGTAAGGCAGATGATAGATAATCTCAGTCAGGTTGGTTGATCAAGTTCAACTCAGGATAAATATCTCAACCCATAGACAAAATAAGAAAAATGTTGCAAAGACAACATCTGATATAAAAATATTACAGAAATGAAAAGAAATATCTTTAGACTATTCCAGCTCTAAACACAGACATGGTGGGGGTCTCGAGAAAGCTTAATTGGTACTGTATTATACATGAAATTTCTTTTCCCTTCATCATACCTTTAGCACAGCAATGCAGTGAGCTAAACACACTTGCAATAAAGGTTTAAGACAGCAGTTGGCATTTGAAGTTTTACTGCAAGCAGATGTGAATCTGTGAACACCAGTACTGTACAACAAATATGTAATGATAGTGATTACAAATCAGTTTATATACCATAATGCAGTGGTTCCCAACCTGGGGGTCAGAACCCCCCAAAGGGCAACAAGATAAACCTGATTAACAGGATAGGAAATGAAAAGACACATATTTGTGCTATTTTGACCAACTTTTCCATCCTTTGCTTTTTGCTTGTGAATTACTGGATATTTCAAAACATTCTGACCCTTAAATGTATTCAAATCAGACAATTTAATAAGGTAAATTTGGTTGAGTAGAATGCAGACAAAGCAAGACAAGAAGGCTGGGAACCATGGCCATGAACATTAGACCCACGGAGGGATAATGAGATGATGGGCCTCTAGTTTCCTGGTGTCTGTGTCAAGCCTTTATCCACTGTTAGACCAAAGATGTTGAAAAAATGAATTAATGTTAAGTAACAAGGAAACTGGATTCACATTACTGTCTCTAATGCTAGGAAAAGATCAACATTTAGTCCCCGCAGGAAGTAAAACACAGTAATCCTAACCAATTTAATAAATATTGACAAGAATAAGTAAAAAAAAGGGCAAAATGTACTACTAGCCCACATTAAATGAACAGCTAACTGTACTTGAAATATTGTATTAGCGGCACATTAGCCTCAGACACGTAGGTTAATGGCTGGTTAGCAATAAACTGAAACGTTATGTCAACAACAGTCACAAAGCAGTTATATAATAGAGCTGAAAATGCTTCAACAAGGGATGCCTGTTAAAATTACTGTGCAGTAGTGGTTGCTACTAGCAGCAAAACGTCTAACTGAAACCAACTGAAAGAAGAAGAATATTACTCTGATTATTTGGTGTCTTCAACAGAGAACCAGCGTTAGTGGAGGCCATCAATTTCACAGTGACAATCAGGAACTCTATCCACTTCCCCAGATTTAAAGTACTGAGGTAGAGTAACTCCACACACACACACACACACTGGAGCCAATGCCTCTGGGCATTAGAATAGTAGGCCTACTCTTGTTTTTGTCTTTGGCAGGGGAAATATCAAAGATGCTTCAAACAAGCGTAGCATGAGGTTGTACCTCAATAAGTGTCATTATCATAAGGAGAAAGAGCCCTACTGTCCAAACTTCCGCCTGGGGTACATCGCAGACCAAGCGAGGGAGAGTTTCAGTGAGCTCTGCAGGACTGTGAGTAGGACTTCTTCACCGCAAAAATGTGCTCTATGATATTTTAAGGATGGCACACAGATGATCATTGCTGTTTTTGCTCAGGGAGGAGTCATAGGGGTTTTCATCAACTGGAATTGTAACCTGGACCTGGATCCTTCACACTGTAAACCCACATATTCCTTCCGCCGTCTTGATCTCCGAAAGGATCAGGACATCTCTGGTTACTACTACAGGTGAGCTCAAACACCCAACGCTACCTTTTTTTTGTTCAGTATTTTAAACTGTGTTTGTCACTTTGACTTGTGTACGGTTCTCTGCCTGTATCCTTGTAATTTCTGTGTCATTGTCCAGGTTTGCCAAATATTACAGCAAGGATGGAGTAGAGTCTCGGACACTTATCAAGGCTTATGGCATCCGTCTGGATGTCATAGTTCATGGACATGTAAGTGATGATACTGTGGTGGAAGAAGTATTCAGATCTTTTACTTGTTTAAATGTACTTAGATACTCCACCATCACTAGAGTCATTACATTGCATGCCATTTCTTTTTCAGGCTGGTAAATTCAGTCCCATCCCAACCATCATCAGCACGGTTACTGCCATGACTTCAGTTGGGATTGTGAGTATTCCTTTCTTATCTTGACACTTTGAAGTGGCAGCTATTGACAAACCACAAACTGGTATTTCTTTTCATTTTCACCCCTCCAGTGCACCATCATCTGTGACTGGATAATGCTGACGTTTATTGACAAGAATGAAGTCTACAGTGACAGGAAGTTTGACGAGGTGAGTAAAATGCATCACATATTCACCTCAACTCATATTGATATTCTTGATATTTTGAGTACTGGATAGCTGAATTCTATGTAGCTGCTTTGGTTTCATGGTCCTGGTATTGTGCATGCTGGCTCACTTAAATTGAAGGATACCTGTCCTCCGCAGATAATCAAGGAGCCCAAGATGCCCATTTCCACAGAGCTCAGCTTCGTCAACAGCTACGGCTCAAACCATTCAGACCTGTCAGACGGTGTGCCGCTGTAATGTCGCCACAGTTGCCTCAGCCCTCGCTGTCCAAGAGTGGGGCCTCTCCTCCATCAGCGACATAAAACTCCAACTGGTTTCTCAGGTGTCTGCCACAGCTCAGTTATGGACTGCCAACGTTCGCTATATGTGGGAATAAACTGACAGAGGACCACATCGACAGAAGGCATCTTCTGACAGACAAGAGGTTCCCTGCCTGTGCAGTGTATTCAGTTCCTATATCATCTCAAACCTTGATGGACCCCAACTGTACAACAATGCAGTTAATTTTCTTTAACGTCGTTAACGTTTAAAGTCTGAGTTCACCTTTATGATAACTATCAATGTATTGCAGATATTCAGTGAAATAGCCTAAATGTCCTGTATCAACTCGAGTTTCAGACATAAGTATTACCATAATTTTACTAACCGTATATCCTAAAACATTGACCTTTAGTCTTATAAATCCGCATTG